TTCACTATTACAAAGATACATGTAATTCATCTCTAATTCATCCAGAATCTTACAATGAGGAAGGATTGAAAGAACTGGGCATATTTAGCCTTTAGAAAAGAAGACTGAGTGGAGATATGGCAGCACTTTTCAAATACTTCTTGATCATCCCAGAGTGCAGGGCATGTACTAATGGGCTAAAGCTACAGGAAAAACTTATTAACTGTTAGAGCAGTATGACAGTGGAAACAATTACCTTGGAAGGTGGTGAGTGCTACAACACTGGAGGCATTCAAGGGAAAATTGGGCAACCATCTGCCAAAGCTGCTTTGCTCTGGATTCCTGCATTGAGCAGGGGATTGGACTTGATAGCCTTACAGGTCCCTTGCAACTCTATGATTCTATGATTCTATGAATTCTGAGCAAAGCAGGAGATTGGACTTGATAGCCTTACAGGTCCTTTCCAACTCTATGATTCTATGAATCTTGAGCAAATACTGCTCAAGATTCAACAATAACTTTTTGTATCTGTGGTTTTTAAATTGGCAGTTTCTTCCCACATCCTCTTGTTACAGCTATCCGTGGGATCAAGAAATGTGTTTTTTAACCCCTAGAAGCAAAGCTCTGGGGTGCATAGGAGGGTTTTGGGAGAAAGAAAATGTTGCAGATTGGAAGAAGCAGTGTCATCTAGTAGAAATACAACATTTGATTCTGGTCATTAATTCGAAGACTAGTTTATACAACTTACAACATGAGCCAGTATTTCATCATTCAGTGACTTGCATCTGAATGCATAAAATGCTGCAGTTAAAAAAAGCCCTGTGTTTCAAGGGCTCATATTAATGCTCTGCTTGTAACTGTCATACACATACAAGCCACTGCTCCATGCTATATATCTCAAGCAAAGTATGGAAACTTAGGTCTTGCTTTATTCCTACTGCTATAAACAGGACATGAATGATGGCAATAGGAATGCAACAAATTGCTTAACAGCTATATGATGAAGGACTTCCAGATTTCTTTAAAACGTCTAACTACATCCAATTAAAAATCCATATTTATTTTCATAGTATATTTTCTGGCCACCATTTCTGAATCATTTATTTAAGCAGAATACTTTCTAAAAGTGAGTGAAAGGTGGAAATAGCAAAATTAACAAAAAAGGGAGTAATTCCATCCTTACATCATACGTTCCCACTTACAGCTCTATGCCAGGACACATTATTTTTCCTGCCCCATAAATGTAAGTGCTGACATCAAGGTTCACAGTTCTGTGTTTTGGGTTGGTAAGCATTCTAAGACCTCTTTGTAACATTTGCCAAAGTAGTTCTGTTTGCAGTTACACAGCCAAACAAGGACCATCAACAAGTGGCTTTTTAACTGAGCTGGTCATTTTTTGCTACTTAGCTAGATTCCTTAATAATCAAACTCATGAAGACATTTTCAGTGTGCATATATTCAAATCTATTTGCATGCACAAAAATAACACCATCCATATGTAACTTATCTTGCCCACAGGAAAAAACAATCATGAGTGGGGCACGACTCAAAGGAATATAAACTACGTACGGTATTCCAGATCACAGAAACCATACCTCTTGCACAAGTCGGTTGATTTTCAGCTGTTTCTCTCTTTCCAGCTTCTCTTCTTTTTCCTTGAGAAGCTTTAGCTCAAATTCCAATTGCATTTTGCTCTTTTTCTGCTCACTGAGACTGTCACCTTTGGATTTCTTCCTTTCTTTACCTTTCTGAGTGGTGTGTTAGTATTATTGCATACTGTCATCCATGCATGCACACACACACACACTCACTCACACACAGACACACACATGTGCTTACTTACTTTTACAGGGGGTTGATAAGCCTGTAAAGCTGAGCTCATCCAGGACTACTGAAACATGTTCTAAAATATTTGGGGACATATCCCACCAAGTCCAATATTTGCTGGAGCATGCACAAGACAACAACAACAACAACCCAAATTCTCTCATAATGCCCGATCATCTTAGTGAATCTGAGAAGACCAGAGATTTAAACAGATGCCTTGCACAACTCAGAAAATATGCCAGAAAGCTCTTTGTAACTCACTGTGAATCTACATCCATTGTACCTTGTATTATCTCTGACAAGTCCAAACCAAAGGGGATTTCAGCTTGTTTCCAAGGATGAAATGGGCTGATGTCTTCTTCATTAATGGCTGTTAGCTTATGCATGTGCCATGCTGGATCTTTCTCAGGCCAATAACATATCAATACTTCCACAGTGCTCTAGCATCGCATGTGGATCCTCTAGTGTGGATTCAACTTAGAAATACCCAATTCCTATACTGTGGTCTGTACAAATGAAGCATATTCTCAGACAATGTTATTTTACACAATGGGCGCTCACATACCTAATGGCAATAATTCTTTTATTATGCAAGAAAGGAGCTCAGCTTTTCACACATCCAAAATATAGCATAGTGTACTGCCAAAACAACACACAAGCAACTGCAAGGAAAAACAACCTTAGATCACTCTGGAAAAAAACAAATTGCTTCTTTGGAATTTTATTAAGCTGCTACATTGTCAGTGTTTGAGAAAGTACGTGGATGTCAATTACATTCTGAGGATTTAATGTTCTGAATTCAATTGGCACCCTCAAGATCAGTGGTCGTGACACACAAAAACACACAGTTTTAAAGAGCAAACTATTTATGTATATATTTATATATGTATAGTAGACTTCTCCCTTGAATTGCACGGATTTGAGCAGCATGGTTTTGGTTATACAGATTTTTTTTCAATAAATAAACAAATAATAATAAATATTCAGTAAATACTGTGCCCCTGGCCACTCAGAAGCAGGGTCATGAGTTCAACACTGAAGGTACTGAAGTTGTTTACTTGACCAGAATCACATCATCTCTAACTCAGCCTCAAGATCAGAGGGTCATAAGGACCTTTAAGGCTCATTGCACACTGTATGAAAAGGATTGTCAATGCTATGGAAGAGAACCCTGATAGACAGAAGTGTTCTCTCTCTCTCTCTCTCTCTGTTAGTCAACTGTTAATGCTTTGTAGTTACATTTTGGGGGGCATTAGAGTTACACAAGAGTTGCGAACTACACTGGGGTCCAGCACCCTCAACCCCAACATTGTTGGAGGGAGAAGCATACAAAATTGCTTCTAACCTACCAGACTAAGGTGAAGAACACAGCATTGTTTATTTCCCAGGCAAAAGGCCCATAAATCAGGCTTAAGCAACTGTAAGAAAGCTATCTTGCAAGGACTCACAGCAGCAGCTTAAGCAAAGTCAAAGAATGAGGAAAACGGGAAAATACAGTATGGTGACCTAGAATATAAAATAGAGATGGCTGACAGGGATGGGAAACAGGAACCTGTCTCAAAAAAAAAGCCACTGGATATACTGGAACTGATGCCCAGATAATGGACAGAAACCTATTGGTGTTCACATAAGGTCTGCATGACTTGTAGCTAATTGCCAAAGTGCTGGGGGACAAATGCATGATGGCATAATTATAATACTGGACTATTAAAATCTATAAACTCTGGTGACCCTGCAGAATGGCTGGAATGCAAAATGGGGGCGACAATGGAGTGGGTAATAGCAGGAATTTGGCAGCACCATATATGAACACATGTACCTTTCCAGTCAAGCAAGGCACCATGGGATCTCTGCCATTGTAACTTCTAAACAAGTTCTTCTTTTATTGAATGTTTATCAATTAATGTGTATAGAGGTACCATCCATAAGAAAATATACAGAATGCAGTAGCCACAGCAAACACTCTCCAGATTTCATCACACTCAACTTTATTTGTACCTTGTGAAGTGTGGGAAACTTCCCTTCATACCGATAAAACCATCCAAAAGCTATCAAGATGCAGAGGGAAAACACATGATCAAACACAGCACATTACAGATATTTGCATTCATGGAGTTCTGTATGTAATTGGCACTCTAGCCCTATTCAAGTATTAGACAGTGTGCAGAATACTTACACGTAGAGGAAAACATTCTGGCTCTACCCATCACGTTGTTGCCTTCCCACAATGTAGAGAATAAATAACTTGCAGAGGAACTGTCTTTGTATTATCTGTGTGAGCTCTTCATATAAAAGGGGACCCCGAGGAATCAGCCACCTGCCCAACTGTAGATTTCTTGTTCTTTAAGCTCATAACCTTCTCTGTGCAAGAAGGGTAATGAAACTGGGACTGAGGGTGCAAGGCTAGAAGGCTTCTCTTACGCATACCTATTCTACACATTTTCTAAAGAAGGAATAGGGCTAATTTTTGTTAATGGGGAAGTAACAAGGGCAAAGAGATCATGCATTGCATTTAAGGGCAGTACATTTACCCACATTTTAAAGTTTGAACTAGCTATTTCCAGCAGACAGATAACAGCTGTCATCACACAATTATTCCACTTGTCTACCTATTTATACAATCATTTTGGCACAAGTGCACCAACCCTTTGAATGCCATAGTCTCAGGAACACACAGGAAACTTCACTGTTTCAAATTTCCATACCATTCTGCAAGTTTTTGCAGAACAACATATAAATTCACATGTGTGCAACGTTCTCTAACATACATAGTTTGTAAGCATCTTTTCCTGTTACTGTATATAAATTGTTGCACACAGCTTTTCTTACAGTAAGCATTTTATATGTTATTTCAAAGACAAGCACTTTTAGCTTACATTTATCCCTGATTTAGGTCACCTCTGATCATTGTCTCCAGTGTTACAAAACAGAATCCATACAAATACCTTACTAGACTATGTTTTCTTGTTGTGATAGGAAAATGTACAAGGTGTTTATCCCATTGACTGTCTACATTGCCTGTATCTATGTTCAGCAGAAAAAAAATAAATAATGGTAGTGTTCTTACCAATAACTAAACTATGGGGTATTGAAGAAGAACAGAGTCCAGAAAAAGATTAAAATGGACTGTCAGGAGGAAGAGCAGTGGAAGAAGTATCAAAAGCAAGACAAGAAGCCAAGGTGTGGAAGCAAACCTGTGGGCTCTCTTTTTGCTTCATTCCAACCATATCATCAGAAACAGGCTGGTCAAGTGCCATTTCATCTAAATCTAATAGAGAAACAAAGGAAGAAAGAAACAAAGGAAAAAGGAATAATAGTATCTTTTTTTAAAAAAAATCCACTGAATGAAAAGAATCAGGAGGGGGAATTCCTGGACAAATTGTGTCTATTGTTGTCCTTTGATCTTGCTGGTGGCAATTTATTGATGCCTATGGGGACAATAAACCATGAATGAGGAAGGCAGATAAACAGGTAAACAGTCTGATCATAGTATAACTACAGTACCTGCAACATGAGACCTAAGCAAAGTGCAAAGCTCAAGTACTGAAAAACACACACAAAAATGTGCATAAAGGATCTGGGAATGCATATGGATTATAACCTTACTAATATACAGGATTGCATCTCTGAGAATCAAGTGATTTGCCAATCCTTGACTTCCTATTTTCAAGTACAAAATAGTAATTTTTTAAGTATCATGTTTTTAAGACTTGGTTTCAGAGGAAAATGCAATTTTCTACCCATTAGATCTATATAAGGATTAGTTGTATGGATACAGTCTTATATGTGCTTATAACATTCTGAACAAAGGATTAAGCAACTATTGGAGCATACTGATTCGATTAGATACAAATACATCTTAAAAAAAAAACCCTGGCCAAGATCCAACATTTTCTGTGTCCTACTAGAACTGCCTTCATCAGCATCTCTGTAGACACAAAATGTGCTCTGTAGGACAGAGTTCTGGGAAACTCCGTAACAGCCAATAGTTCCCTTTCTCCTTCAGATTCTTTTCCCCACCTTTTTTCTAGTCAGGGTTCCATCAGTGTTAGCAATGGAGTCTGCCAGAAGTGGAGTGTTAGAGTGAAGCTTTCTGTCAGTTATGTAACCAGTCAGTTAGTCACGAAGCTAGTTAACCTGTTAAGTTCTGCTATGTAACAAGGTAACATTTTTTCACAATATGACATTTGTTCTATATCTAAGAGAACTGTGAGTAACCTGAAATTTTATTCTTTTTCATTACCAGAGCCTCTGAGTGAAGGATTGAGATGATAAGTGCCAGTGAGGTAAGTGAGGTAAACTGTCAAATAAAAGATGGCCTACTGGGCAATATTTGAACTCACTCTGTTCTGCAGGTTCCTGCCGGAACCATTTTATCTGCTGCGTAATTAGAGGAAAGTTAATTTTTTTATATAAGCAACACTCAGTTCTTCACACTATTCTGTCCAAGACATACAGAAAGAGCTGATTCACATAATGGACTAAGCTGAAAACACAGGTATTTGAAAACTATAATTTAGCAGTCAGATGAACTCAGCATTCATAATACAGTTATACAACTTGGCACGCCAGTCCTGGACTGCCAAGGTTCATGCATGAAGGAGTTTTGCAATGCAGTTATAAACAGAAGCAAAACACCAGCAATTCGTTATCCCCAGAAATCACACCATATCAGCCAAAGTGATTCTATGTGTTGGGACTGCTAGTTAACCAATATAGATTTCTAGTCTTCCAGGAGAAATGAGTTGTACTCTTTCTTTTCCCAAGTCATTATTATCTCCTTTTGTGTTCCACATTCCTCTGAATTACCAGCATTTAATTAAGCTAGCAGAAAGAGGGGAAGAAAATCAATGACGACACACTGGTTTCTCACCCAGCAGTTGCAGGAGAGAGCTGCAGTGCTGCATGTTGGAGTTAATGATGCACATTTTTATTCCTGCCTAGGATGGAAATTATTACTTACTTCGATGTTTAGCTGGAGGGGGAGGATGTACTTCTGCAACTACTGTTTGGGGAGCCTGTGCTTGTTCTTTATGGCCCCAATCTTCTTCCCACTGCTTTTTAAATTTCTCTTCCTCTGCCTTTATCCTGGAAGGGAGCAAAATATCTTTCACTTGCTGTAGTCTGAGGAAACAGGCACTTTAGCAAAGTTCAGGAAATCTGGAGTTGTCCAGTGCTTGGATGGGAATGCCTCAACTTATCCCATCTTAAACTCCATGACTGAAGACAACTGGCTACATAAGTATAGAGAAATAAATTAAACTGAAATTGTACATTCTACATTTCTTCACTTAGATTTTAAAATATTTGGACATTTCAAACATATTGTAAAACTAAGTGTGTGATCCAGCTAAAGCTGTGTGCCCTATCCAGTGGCAATTCAGTTGTAAATTAATGCTCCCACTGAAATCAGTGGAAATATACAACTGTTTCATTATAACTGAACTTAATGTAGCCTTTAATCAGAAAGAACAGACCTAATCTAGCTATATTACTGTCAGGCCTGCTTTTGAAAAAGCAGGAGTGCAAGTTCAGTTTTTCGACTGCTAAATATATTTTTAAGCTGAACATCTTAAGTCAAAGGTGGACTACATATGGTCCTCCAGACACTTGTTGGGTTTTAACTCCCATCATTCTGTGAATAAATGAGATTAGACACCTCAAAAGAAGCTCAAACAAACAATCTGCCAGGCTAGCTGCCATAATAGTAGCTATAGCATAAAAAAAAATCTCATCAGAGATATTGTTTGTGGCAACACCTAGCATTCACTTAATTGGTCCTTAAAAATAAACACTTGATTTAGCATGTACCTGAATGAAAGTTATCTCTTTCAAGATCTGATTAAAAAAGATGTCTTTCAGAGTTCAACATAAGTCATAAATAAAAAACATTAAGCAGAAGCTCAGGAAAGGTGTCTTTCAACCAAGGACTGATAAGCATTCTTCACATGGGCCACTATAGCAGTTTTAGTATGAGATGAAAAGATCAGTTAGCAATGTCAAGAGTTTGCATATGTTTTATTAAAGATAAGATAGCTTCTAGCAACTGGAAAAATGCTTTTTGCAAATGAAAAACAGGCAATCCAGAGAACCATATTAATCAAAATTAATTGGTAGGAAACAGTAAAGAGTTCATAAATATTGTCAGATGTACAGAAAAATAAAGTCACTGCTTAGATTCTGTTAAGAGATCAATTTAGATTTATTTACTTACTTATTTTAATTATATCCTGCCTGTCTTCCAGTAAAGGAACACAAGGTGCCATACAACAATGAAAAATACAGTACTGTACATGTATAAAATCAGAATAAATTAGGACATTATCATTAATACAGGAAAACTTTAAGACATCATTAGTAATGAGTTAAAACTCATGTAAAATACCTGATTAAAAAAACTCATGAAAATGTGCTGCACCCCTTCTATACAATACAATCCAGCAAGGGTTAGAGATTACAAGCTGACTTTAAAATGAAGTTTTTAACCTGCTGGCGGGACGACTGTAAGGAGGGGTTTGACTGTTACAACCATGTTTTAAAATAAGAAAAGCATATAAAAAGATAACAAATTCAACTAGAAAATCAGGACCAGCTGGAGAAATTTTAAAGACTTGGGAATGCACCCCTCATGTAAGAAATCCTATGCTGGTGAGGGAGATTAAAAAGAGGAGAAATATATATTCACAAACATAACTGAGACTTTCTATTATACATGTACAGTATGTATGCCTCAGACAAAATGATGATTTTGACTTTTTTATGAATGACTTTATATTAGTGTAACCAAGAATACTTTTATTGAATGTCTTTGGCAAAAAGGATGTTTTTTCCTTTTCATCATATTTCTGTACAATATTTTTATATTATTTGCATATAAGGCTTTTAATGATATTTGCTTAATAAAAGGAAATATAAAATTAAGCAATTTGAATGCTGTATAAACTCATTTCTCTCACACAAAAGACAGAAAAACGTCTATTAGAATACTAGATGTGTACTCAATGTTTTCTTTAAGAGGCTATGAATTATTCTGAGTCTCATGCAGACAAATAAAAACTCTTCTTTCTAGAAGAGAAATGTTGGTTTGTGTGAGATTTATTCACAAATAATCACTGGTCCTCTGAGGTCTTGCATTCATTCAGTAATTGGAAGGTCCTGGTGATGAGAATTACACTGGGCTTCTGACATTCTGACAATCCTTTACTGTTATCTATGTTGACAGTACAACAACATCTGGATGTAGGGTCATTCTTTGTCCCAACATCACATGAATACTGTGCCAATACTGTGCTCCAAGATGCACCAATATTTTCTGGCTTCTGGCCTAAGAATTCTTCTCTGGGCAGTTTACAACATAATTATCACTAACATACCATTCCTGGGCAAGGTGACTGAGAGAGTGGTGGCGAATCAGCTGCAGTCATACCTGGAGGAGCAGGATTGCCTTGACCCATTCCAATGCAGCCATGAGATGAGACTGGTTGCGCTGCAGGATGATTTTTTAAGGGAGGCTGACAGGGACGGAGACACACTGTTGATATTCCTAGATCTTTCAGCGGCTTCTGATACTGTTGACCATGGTATCCTCCTGGACAGGCTCTCTGAGGTTGTGATTGCGGGCTTAGCATTGAGCTGGCTCTGATCCTTCCTGTCCAGAGAGTTCAGCTAGGGAAGGAGGTGTCAGCACCTTGGACCATTTGGTGTGGGGTTCCTTAGGGATCAACACTATCCTCAATGCTGTTTAATATCTATGTTAAGCCATTGGGGGAGATCATCAGGAGTTTTGGATTAAGGTGTCATCAGGATGCTGATGACATGCATCTCCACTTCTCCATTACCACCTTTACAGTGGGTGCCATCGAGACGCTGAAGCATTGTCTGGTTGCAGTACTGAATGGACCAGGGCTAACAGGCTCAAACTCAACCCAGACAAAAAAGATTTTGCTCCTTGGGGGGGGGCATCCTTAGGATAGTCCTTAGGCTGGATGCCACTCCCCTCCAGTTTAGGGACCAAGTGTATAATCTGGATGTTCTTCTGGACCCGGTTCTTTCTTGGGAGTCCCAGATTGCAGCCGTGTCCAAATCAACCTTCAACCAGCTTAGGCGAATCGCCCAACTTCACTCCTACCTAGACGAGAGATCCCTCAGGACTTTAGTGCAGACCCTGGTTATCTCCTGGATCAACTACTGCAATGCCTTCTATGTGAGGTTTCCCTTGAACCTGATCTGGAGACTTCAGCAGGTCTGGAATGTTGCAGCCAGATTGGTGGTTGGTGCAAGTAAATTTGACCACATCACTCCAGTTCTGGCTCGCCTCTGCTGGTTGTCCGTGGTGTCCCAGATCATGTTCAAGGTTTTGACACTCACATACAAAGCCGTCCATGGTTTGGGCCCATGTTATTTGTCCGAGTGTCTCTTCTCAATGTCATCTGCCTGACGCACTACGCCATCCCAGTTGCGGCTCCTCCAGGTGGCCACACCAAGAGAGGCCCACAAATCCTCTACAAGAGGCAAGGCCTTCTTTGCAGTGGCTCCAAATTTATGGAACCAGCTTCCAGAGGAGCTCCACATAGCCTCCTCTCTGTGGACTTTTAGGAAGCAATTACAGACATTGCTTTTCAAGGAGGATTTCCACACTGACCCCAGCTGACCACCTTCCTCCCCTTTTTTCCCTCTCCCATCCTCTTCTTCCCTACCCTCTTCTCCTCCATCCACTCTGAGATTAGTTGGTGCTATCTGGTAGTGTTTTTTTAAGGGTTATTGCTATCAGTTTTAATATTTCTATTTCTATTTTCTATTTTATGAGTTGTAACCCACCCAGAGTAGTGCTGTGACACTAATGGGAGTGGGATATAAATCGAATAAATCAATCAATAAATCAATAACAGCCTATCCTCCATATTACCTTACCCGGGCTTCATGCTCTGGAGAGGACACTCCTCGATTCAGAGCATGTTACCATAGTCTCTCGAGACTGAAGGATGCCTATGCAATAATTCAAATAGCATTTTGCTCCCATTAAGCTGGGAACTCATTTTACTGATTTCAGAAAGATGGAAGGTTGAGTCAACCTTGAGCCAGCTACCTGAACCTGTTAAGATCAAAATTGGGTTGTGAGCAGAGACTTGACTGCAGTACTGCAGTTTAACCACTGCACCACAGGGCTCTAACATTCTGCCATTAAAAATTAAGATACATCTCTCTATCTTTATTTCTATATCTGTCTCTGTCTCTATATCTAAAAGGTATTGTGACTTAAGCTACATATAGAAGCCACACCTCATTTTTTGTTTATGGAGAAAAGATCCCAAGCCAGTGCAGGTATTTTTCATTTAACATCTAGAGATGTAAATGTGTTATTTCTGATATTATTCTCCAAATAATGGAATATAATAAATTCCTTTTCCACTTGTATGCTTGCTACATGCATAATGTGACTCATAAAAGACTGATCCTCACGTCTTTCAAAATTCAGCAAAATATATGCTGTGACACAGAACGGCTTAGGATTCTTTCTAAGATCACAAGCAACGTAAGAGAGAGAGAGAGAAAAAGATAACTTTAGCAAACCTAATCACGAACTCTAGCACCAGATAACATAAGCTTTTAAAAAGTGCTAATATGAAAGAGAGAGAAAAAGATAACTTTAGCAAACCTAATCACGAACTCTAGTGATCGCTTTCCGATGGTCCCTATGGGTTTTTTCGCTTTGCGATGATCGTGGGGAAACGATCGTGGCAAAGCGACCCTTTTTAAACAGCTGATCGGTGGTTTCAAAATGGCCACCGGGAAAACAAAATGGCCACCTGCTGTGTTTCCTCTCTTCAGAGGCACTGAAAATGGCCACCCCTATGGAGGATCTTTGCTTAAAGGTTAGTTTTTAGCCCATAGGAACACATTAATCGCGTTTAAATGCGTTTCTATGGGCTTTTTAATATCGCTTAGCGATGAAATCGCTTAGCAATGTTTTCTCCAGAACGGATTAACGTCGCTAAGCGAGGCACCACTGTACTCCTTTTTTAATGGTGGAAATTGTATCAGAAAGAGATGACACTGGCTTGTCTTCAGTTTTGGAGGGAAGGACATAAATAAGTAATGCTTTTGAATTATCCTGGTTATTTCATTCCCAAGGTTTTAAAATGCATGCATGTAAAGAATGTAACAAAGTTGGGTAGCCATGTGGGCAAAAGTGACTTAACTGTTCGATTTCTTTACGGTATCTTTCTTCTTCCTCGGCAGCTTTTTGTGCAATCTCCATTTTCCGCCTAAAAGCAAACAAATCAAAAAGATCGGCCCTGAAATGTTTTAGATAACTATGCTGAAATTAATTTTGATAATACTCAGACAAAGTGTTTGTTGCTCCCCCTTTTGTGCCACGTGGTGTATGGATCTTAGCAGGGTTTCTATCCATAGGTTTTCTAACCCAGCTCCCTTCTCTTTAAAAATCAGTCCCTTTTCAAGAAAGTGCTCGACAATATTGCAAGTAGAAGGAGTATATTTCAGCTCCAGGTGCTCTGGCTGGTGGGAAGGGAGGCAATTTTCATCCATTTCTCCTGCCCTCTGCAGCTCCAAACACCACGCCCTACACCAACCTTCTCCAACAATTGATGTGCTGGATTTCAGGGATGGGGACTCGCAAGTCGTGATTCATTGGCAAGTCCAGCTTAAGTCGCACTGCCAAGTTGACTCAAACTCGGCTCAGGGTTTTTTTTTGGGGTGGGGGGAAACACATGACAAATGGGTCCAAGCAGTGTTGTTGAGTCCCCATGGGCCTCCCTACTTGCTGCTGCCACCACTGCCTGCCACCTCCATCTTCAGAGGCAGCAAGGCCAGCTTCACTTCCAGGAGCCAGCTGCTGCTTCTGCCTGTGCACCCACTGCCCAGCTGATAGGCCGGCACATGCACAGAGGCAGGGGCTGGTTCTGGGAAGCGAAATTGGCCTGCTGTCTCCATGCATGTGCTTGCATGCACCAGCCTATCAGCTGGGTGGCTGGTGCATGGGCGGAGGCAGCAGCCAGCTCTCGGAAGGGAAGCTGGGCCTCCTGCCTCTGAGAATGATGGCAGCAGTGGCCAGGAGCAAGTGGCAGGAAGTAGGAAGGCCCACTGTCTCTGCACATATGCTGGCCTATCATATGTGAAACTTTTGCAGTTTGAGTCTTTGTGTCCAAATCCTCAGTCCTAAACCATGAGGGGGAGGGCAAATAAATCAAGACTTGGGACGTAGGACTCTGGCCTGAAGACTTGGACTTCGGACTTGGGCCCGAAGACGTGGACTCAGACTTGGGACTTGGGTCTGAAGAATTGCCAATATCCTTGCTGGACTGTCATTCCCAACATCTCTCACCAGTATTCTCTTGGCCCTTTTGAATACGGGAAGTAGTAGTCAAGGGCACATCAGTCTGTGCTAGTCCTTTGGAGCTGTTTTTTTTTTTTTTAGGGCACTTAGGGAAATATGGGATAGTTGTGATGAATATTGCTTTCTAGTTGAGTCAGTGAAAACATCCCACTGAAACTGAAAATTTGCATAGCTGTGTAAGAAGACTTCAGCCAATTAATACAATCAAAACTTTGATAAAGAGCAGACAAACACACTTTAATGTTGAGGAAAGAATTTTTATCATCATCGTTTCTGGGGCCTACCAACTTCTTGAATTAGCTTCTGCCTTGTCATTAGTGTAGCACTATATTTTACACATTGACATAAATCTTTATTACTGTTGATCCTAATGCTTTTTAAAAGGCAAATGAGAAATTAACATACTTTTTCAGTAACATTATGCTTGATTGGTACCACTGCTCACTGCAAATTGAATATTTCCTTGTACTTAAAATTACACACAGAGAAAAATGGTCATTCCTGTTCAAGTCTTTCTTTTCTTTCTTTCTCTCCCATATTTACTTTAAATGAGATTTCCTATTTACCAATGTTATGAGTGACAGGGTGTGACAGAGTGTGTGGGGGTTCCAGAAAGATCAGCACCTCATACCTGAGAAGAAGATGGAGAAATCACAAGGGGAGATGGGATGGTGAGCCTGATACAAATCTGCAAAGAACTTCAAGAGCTCAAGTTTCTATATCAGTAAGAAACCTTCTTAGGCACCCTTCAGTCTCGAAAGACCATGATAACGCACTCTGTATGAGTGTCCTTTCCAGAGCACGAAGCTTGGGTAGAATAATATGGAGGACAGGCTGTTAGCCAAGTAGCAAACCCCCCTCTCCATGTCACTAAAACAGTCCGAAGGAAAGGCAAGAGCCAATACAACTGATTCCAGCAACATTGCAGGAGTTGGCAGAATGACACGAACTGCCTCCGGGACTCAGGCTCTGGATTTTGCCTCGAGGTTAACTCCTGAAGCCTTTTCCATCAGTGGATAGAGCCACAAGGCAGTGGAGGTTTGAAATTGGAGTTTTCCTTCTCCTAGATGGGCTGCCTTCCAAGGCTGATGAGCCCCACCTAACCGGTCAGTAAGAAACCACAGACGTGGAAAACACTCTAAATGCAGACTTGTTTGTTCATGTAGAAAAAAGGAAGAAGGCTGACTATAACCAGTTGTCCAGACAAGAAAGAGGAAGCAGGTTAGCTGAAGCCAAGTCTCTGGCAGATGAAATAAGCTGTACACATGAAAAGAAGCATTTCTGCATGGCAACAGATTGTATCTGCCCAGGAAACTAGAGTCTGCTCCCTACTTGCCCACATGCCTATAAGGATGACCCAGGAAGAGACAGGTGGGCTTTGGAACAATGCTGGAACAATCCCCACCACCCTTTCTGAGGACTAATCCCCCGTCAGAGAAGGGCCTTCTGGATGAGTGAGTATCTTGTGTGAATGGGAAGTATGAAAGAGAGGCCTCTCAGTACCTTTTGTCTTATATCCTATGTCTTACGTCTCATCAATAAATGTTACATGAATAGTGCTTAACCCAAAATTATTGGTGTATGGTCTCCTTGTCAGTAGTCTGGCTGGGCTCTTTCTCTCCTCTCATGGTCCCTTTCCCCAGGATATAAAGAACAGTAACCTATTTGGGGGTAACAGAAATTGGCATCACAGAATGGATCCAGGGACAGACCAAAGGAGAGTGGCTAAGGCTATGGCTAAGAGGACCAGACTGAAGTGAGAAAGGATGGGTGCTTGGGAATGGATCCAGGGACAGACCAAAGGAGAGTGGCTAAGGCTATGGCTAAGAAGACCAGACTGAAGTGAGAAAGGATGAGTGCTTGACACAATGATGGTTCTTTTAACCTGAAAAGGGAGGCAAGTGAGTTAATTCAGGGACCCCGGCTGCCAAGTAAAAGGCATCAGGCCGGCAGCCCAGGCAGCAAATGCCAAAAGGCTTGGGGGATAGGTAGACAATTTTCCAAAACGAGGTGACATTTGAGCCAACTCAACAAGATGCAAACTGGCCAAAAAGCCAGGAAAGCACGCTGAGTGAGTTGCTCATTCTATGAAGCCATGTGTGCATGGACAAGATAGGCAGGAGTTAAGGCACATGAGGAACTGACTCACTGACACCATTGTTGGGGTGGTATTGTTTTATCTGTTGTTTTATCTGTGTAGAATAAAAAAAATCCAAGAAATCTTATCTGTTTTCCCAGCATGCACCAGGATGACAGAGAGGTGAAAGTGCTGGACTGAGACCTGGAAAACCTGGGTTCTAATCCCCACTTGGCCATGAGGCATACTGGGTGACCTTGGGCCAGTCACACTTTCTAAACCCCTACAGGGATGTCACAAGGATAAGACGGGGAAGAAGAGAGCTTTGTACACCACACTGAGATGGGATAAAGTCTTCAACAAATAAATAAATCACCAGTTACCATCAAACCTCAGTAATCTTCTCTGACTGTATCAAAACCACTCTAAGTACTTGAAATGTCCAGAAGAGAACAAAGATAACTAGTAAATGCTGGAAAGTGCATGCATTGGCTATCTCTGTTCCCACAGAATATCCTCCATTCTTACAATCTTTCTTTTTCTTGCTGCTCTTTCAGGATTTTATTGGTCTCGAGTGCAATTCGCTTCTGATGCATTAGTTCCTGGCGCTCCACCTCGCGAATGTATGCCTCCCTCTGCCGCTCCTCTTCAGTCATAAACAGCTCTCTTCCCTAAATATTATTTAAAGAATCTGTCAATACAATTTGGCTAGCAAATATTAATAACAGTTGTTCCTCTCATGGTGTTTGTGTTTTGTGAAGTAATGTATTCTACAAAAGCCTTACCAAACACTGAGAAAGATTGCTTCCCCTACTGGAAGATGAAACAAAGGTGTCTTACTGTTTGTATTGGTTTATCAAATTGTAAGAAATTTTGCCAATTATTTTTCAACATTGTACAGATGTAAAATATATTTTAATTCTAAAATGATCATGTGCAACTTTATTAAAAAAAACCCTTTTTCATATTTCTGGTTTATGCATGTTGATTTTTATGCATAGAAATTTGCACTTGTGGAACTAAAATCCAGATGATGGAATATGAAATTTCAAACATGTCTGATAATATGTTGGGTTGTGTTTTTTTGAGTTCGGGCTTGTTGTAGTATCTGCACTCATCCTTGCAAACAAACACAACATGTTATCTATATAAGCATACTTACCAGCCATGGTTTGTGTAGGTTCTGAATTCTAGATTTGTTAAATCATGACTTGCTGTTATTTCTGAACCTAGCATCTCAGTGTTTCTCTAATTTGTTTTCCAAGCTGCCTTTTAATGTGTTTCTATCTAGATTGTTTCTCTATTTGCAGGACACTTTGAACTAAAGCAACAAACCATGTCTAATGTGAACCATGGCTTACCATGACATAGATTGTCACCATCTTTGTTACATCACTAAGGACAGAAAAATACATAATATGTCATTAGAAGCCAGAATTCCTTATCCATGGAGGATATCTGTACAGCAACTTTTCCTACCTTATATAATTTTGAAATTCGCTAGCTTTATTTTGTGATTGATCTCCAAGATTCAAGCACAGAATTCAACTGCAATCTGATTTCTCAAACAAGAAACTCTGCCTGAATCATGTATCTTCAGCACTTAACATGCTTTCAGGCCTAATCACAAAGTTACTGTAAGGTTGGTTACTATACTGCGTTCCAATAAATTCTAAATCTATAAGCTTTTTAAAAATGTTAGCAGCATTATTGGTACTTTAATTATCTACAAGGTGTAGAAAAAAAGTAGGTTCCTTACTTCTCCTTTCTTATAAACACAGATATTCACACTATATGAGATGAACACAATATCAGAGGGGTTATATCTGGTTGATAATATCAGAGTTCTTTATGTGTGAGCTGTGACAAAAAACATATATGTTTACAGTAGTACCTTGGTTTACGAATTTAATGCATTCTGTGGGGTGTTACATAAAGTGAAAAATTCATAAATCAAAATGCAGATTGCCATAGAAACAGGGGCGGTGATATAAACCTCCAGGCACAATGCATCATGGGGAAACTTCCTTCACAAACAGAAAAAAACCAAAAAACCCCCCCATAAACCAAGGCATTATTTTCAGCGGATTTCCATTCATAAGCCAAAAATTACGTTAACCAAGGTGTTTGTAAACCGAGGCACTACTGTAGAAGCAGTTACATTTTACTTCACTTGAAATAGTAGAGTAAAAAATGTGGCTGAATTTCAGATGGAATGTTGATTCGAGACCCCTGCCGTACAGAAATGTTAGTAAAATTTAGTAAATTAACACATATTTTTGGGCTGTGTAAACTTGTAGGCTATAATAAATGTGTACTATTTTCATTAGATGATTGGAACTAAAGCAGACAGTTTCCATAGTTACCTTTGGAGAAAATAATTTCTCATGGCGAGTTTTCCTTAAGGTCATAAAATATAATAATAACAAGAACAGGGTCAAAGTGTTGCTGTTGTTTGCTCTGAGCACACTCTGACTCTTCTGTGTATCATCAAGGTTTATTCAATATCCTGAAATATTCTCATGTGCTACAAAATGATCAAACTAATCTGCACAAGAAAGTGCCACCAGCTCAGAGAAAGTATTGCTGAACCAATGGTGTCTATCAAAGATAAAATTCAGATGTTCATTGGTTCACTTAAACCCAAGTGGCGTGCCTATCTTTCATTCCCATTCTTGGTTTTTAGTGACTCCACAGGGTTTCCTGCCAGCATATGCGCTTTGAGGATAAGTGTGTATTTCATCCCCTATTGCCGTATATGGTGACTTTCTAGATTTTCACAGGGCCGTTGCTGATTGCTATGACATTAATACTTACAGCTCCTGTTACAACAGTGATAGTCAGTGTCTGACTGCTTTTCAACACCTTCACAGCCTGAAAAAGAAGGGGGTGGAGAGAGACGAAGAATGGCCTTTACAACTAGTTCTTGTAAATAGGCAATCCCTATGAGTTTGCACACAGTGTAGCTACAGTGACAGTCTATCCTCACAAGTAAAAGGCTTCTACTAGACAATCACCTCAATGCAGATGATTCTTCTACTTTCATAAGTGGTTATTTAAGATCTATCTACAATTCCACTGCTACCATGTCCATTCCCTGTTGTACTGCGTAAGCACTTTTTGCCTTAAAAACGGGCAACTCTTGCCAGCACCAAAATATTGCTAACCTTTGCTGGTCCATCATAATGACAGGCTCAATGGCTTCATAATGTCAGCACGATGGTCTGAGCTGTGATGCTAAAATACTGCAGATAATTTGCAGCTCTTTGTAGAGACATGCTTTCTTGGTCAGGGTTTTCACAACTAACAATGTTACCATTAGTGCAAAAACTAAATAGTAATAGAAATAATAAATGTCTCAAAGATTTGAATTTCGAGTCTTACTTTGGATGTGAATGGGATGTTCAAATGATCTCCTGGTGGAACTTGTCAAATCATTAAATTCATTTTGATCATTCCATTCTTTCAGTCTAATCTCACATTGAAACTACCTATTGTCTAAGAAACCAAGAATGGTGGTGGAATCATGCCCCCCCCCTTTATAATTATAGAAGATATGAGAAATATTCAACTTCTTCAACACAATATTTATACCATTCAATAATACTGTATTTTACAACAATAGTGAAATTAATAAAAAGATCCTTAATCCCTTATTAAATCGTTCATTCAATTGTGCCTTAGAATGTCTACATATGATAGAAAAGCCCACATGTCTGTCTATGCATCACCTTGGAATGCACTGATTTGGAATGTAATAAATTTTTTTTTACACTAAAGCCATCCATATTTATACTTTTATATTTCCCTAAAAGAGGATGATTGCACAGCCTTTACTTTTTTAGATTTTTTTAATTGAAGGGTTCCTCCTGGAAGCAGGAGGAGACAGGAGGGCAAGGAGGGGGATTTTAATTTTTCTTTTCTTGCCTTGTGCATGCAAGGATTGTACTACATGACACACTGGACTTCTACGTGACCTTAAGTGACCCCATTTAATCCACTCCAGCCTGCTCCAACTGAGCCAAGAAGACAAGCACGAACAAAGTTATACATGAATAGACATGGGGGTATATGAATACCCCCCCCAATGTGGACATAACAAGGGTCCTCCCCCCCCGGGGTCAGACTGTCCACTCTCCATCCGCTATTGCTGCAGGCTCCACATTCTCTTCTTATCGCTCAAGAGCTTGCTGTCGATTAGCCACTCCTGGCAGGAGGTGGGATGATGTGGTCTTTAAGTGGTACCACTCCTGGCAGGAGGCGGGCTGGTCGACCAAGTGCTTCAGAGCACAGCAGCAGTGGATGGTGAGTGGACACAATGGTGACCCTCATTATGTCCACTTGTGGGGGGGTATTCATATTCATACATGAATACCCCCCTGTATATGAACTATTATGTTTCCTTTTTACAAATAACACCTAGTTACTTTCAAAATTTAGTTTTACAGAGCACTTTATGGCATTTTAGGATTTCTGCCATTCTGTTATCAATCCTATGTGGCAAAGGACTTGAGGTACCTTAGACTATTAAGTTTTATTTGGCACAACCTTTCATGGACTTCAGTTTGCTCTGCGAACACATATGTGAAGTATTAAATACCACAAAACAATTACTGGTAGTTCACTTTTTTTAGTAATTTGCAATGTCAATTTTTGCTGCAGTTATGAGATTACTTATCACTTCAGATTAGTTTCAACAGACTACTTTCTTTCGGTGAAATAGTAAGATTTCTTTAGGAACGTTAGTATTTTTTAAAAAATAAGTGGCTGTGTGTTAAATTTTAATGCATGTTTACTTAGACGAGTCTATTGTTAATTTCACTAGAACTTCTCCCCAAGTAAATATGGTGGGATTGCAAGTGTGTACAATACAGCTAAAATAAGAAACTTTCACCCCTCCCCATATTTTTAATTACAAGCTACTTAATTGTTTATAAGAATGTCTTCTCTATTCAAAATTTAGTTTTACAGAGCACTTTATGGCATTTTAGGATTTCTGCCATTCTGTTATCAATCCTATGTGGCAAAGGACTTGAGGTACCTTAGACTATTAAGTTTTATTTGGCACAACCTTTCATGGACTTCAGTTTGCTCTGCGAACACATATGTGAAGTATTAAATACCACAAGACAATTACCGGTAGTTCACTTTTTTTTAGTAATCTGCAATGTAAATTTTTGCTGCAATTATGAGATTACTTATCACTTCAGATTAGTTTCAACAGACTACTTTCTTTAGGTGAAATAGTAAGATTTCTTTAGGAACGTTAGTATTTTAAAAAAATAAGTGGCTGCGTGTTAAATTTTAATGCATGTTTACTTAGATGAGTCTATTGTTAATTTCACTAGAACTTCTCCCCAAGTAAATATGGTAGGATTGCAAGTGTGTACAATACAGCTAAAATAAGAAACTTTCACCCTTCCCCATATTTTTAATTAAAAGCTACTTAATTGTTTATAACAATGTCTCCTCTAAGTCAAATAAGCATTAGCTACCTCCCAATATTTGTTGCCTGAATCTTGAAATGTGAGATTATGAAAAGCTGCAGGTTGATTTCAAACTCTGTGCAGAGAGTTTATTTACATTTTATGTACACAAGAAAACTGGGATTTGTTCATTACCTCTTTGTGATCAATATTGGAAAAGTCCATTCCATTTACTTCAACAATCTGATCACCGACCTGAAAGAAAGAAAATTAATATAGTGTTTGAAACGATGGCATATTTCTCAGGCAAGCCATACTACCCATGCTACTTGCTTTGAAATTGTTTACAATATTACACCACTTCAGAGCACACAGCTTGGGAATATTTTCAACCTTCTTATTTAACAATATTCTATTTAGAGTTCTGAAAGGCCTCACTGATTTTGGTTCCCCTGTTTTTAGAGGGTGGCCCTTAGAACTAATTTAAAAACAAAACCAACATTTTTTCTCCCTATAACTTTGCCAGTTGATTGAACTGGGGCTATTGTACTTTAGATAGACAACATTAGTACAAGAATCACTGGAAAAGACACTAATACTAAGAAAAGTGGTGGACAACAGAAAAAGTAAAAACTTTACATGAAGTACATTGATTCAGTAAAGGAAGCCACAGACTTTACTTTGCAAGACCAGAGCAAGGCTGTTAACAACAGGACTGTTTGGATATAATTTATTCATGGGGTTACCATAAATCAGAAACAACAGCACAATACATAGTAATAACACTTACTTCTAAGCCTACTTCTGCAGATAGAGAATGGGGTTTGACATTGCTTATGAAAATGCCTGGCTTTTGTGTAGGGCCACTGGAAATACTGGAAGTAAGAAAGAAATGACATTGCACAACTGTATAGTTCAAGTAAATACATCTTCTAACACACCTAGTATGTACTTCACTACATATTCTGTTTCTGTCTCCTCTTTCTGCTCGTAACTGATGACACTGTATCTTTATTTGCCTGGGTCTTTATTTGTTGATAGAATGAGATGGACTGACGGAAGAAATATCGACAGAAGGTAGCTGTCTTAGTATATTGCGGTAAGAACAACAAAGATTGTAGTGCCCTAAATATTAATAACTGCTACAGTAGGACCATTTTATCCACAGGATCAGTATCCACTGATTCACTTATCCATATAAATATGATAATTTATATTTTTTTAAAAATCCAGAAAAAAAGATTTTCACATGTATCACCAGAACTGGCCACTAAAGGGAGCCAGAGACCATGCTATGAATACTTGTTAGTGAAGAACTAACCTCTAGTGGCCAGTTCCGGCAATGCATTTGATTCCCCCCCCCTTTTACATGTTTCCTGAAAAAAACATCTCGTAAGATGGAGATTTAGAATGAACGGCAGCTCACCTGCATCCCATGCCTTTTGTACCAATTAAGCTAATGAAAACTTTCTTTTCTTTATGCTTATTTCCTTCAGATGAAGCAAGTCCAGCAACACTGCTTTTACCTTCCTAAATACAAAAAGAGACATCAGCATTTCTAAAATGGTGAGCCACTGGCTTTCATTAGTTGCCATTAGCTAAGAAGGAATGTTGATTTCTGGATGCTCCAGACCATTCTGAAGGACTATAAGAATTGTTCAAAAACCAAAGGATCTGCATCCCTGATGCACACATTAATACTAAAGTCAGATATATAATGTATATAAAGTTGTAGTATAATATACATAATATTGTAATGCAGCCAAAATGTCAGCATCCAGGGACAAGACGGGGGCATCATCAAAGCAAATGAGACAGAGGAAAAACTGAATCATCTTAAGTCACCCCCAACCCCACTGGGACTCAGCATTCTCAGTGAGCTGACTGACCACAAAATGGAAATAACAGGAGAATGAGCTGGGCAGTGTGGAACAGAATGTAACCACTGGAAGCCTGAATGAAAGCACTCCATATTACAACATCTTTATTAACAGTGTTTGGACACATGTCTTATTGCTTGCTTTTATTGTGCATCCTTTATGTTATGGTCCCAGAGCTGGAGTCATATATAATGTATCAATCAACACAGCAATATCAAACCTTGAAAACTCAGTTTACATCACAGCTTTATTACCATCTGGAAAACACATGGCCCTGTATCACCCATCCATTCACATCTCTGTCTGTAAGTGATGCTTCTGTGGTATGGTCCATGTAAAACACTAGCAGCATTAACTTCCCTTTAGTGCTGTTAAGGTATGGAGATAAATCGCCATGCTCAAGATGATTTTCACTTCTGCAGAAATTCATTTACTGCTTGAGAGCATTTCATTTTTGTATTTATGAAATGCACCCATGAAATATGGTCAGAATGTGCTAAATGATGCAGTAAGTATGCTAACGGAAGCAAGCCTACTGTCAAACAGGATGCATAGTTAAACCAGAGCAACAGTTGTAATTTTCTACAAGTGAAACAAAATTTGATCAACATTTGCTATGAAAGGTATTTGGAATTGTTACATCAAGATGTAAGAAGAAAACGTGATCCTTTGCTATGAAAGGTATTTGGAATTGTTACAACATCAAGATGTAAGAAGAAAACGTGACCCCTCAACACATCTAGCTGAAGGCATCCATTCAAAGACTCTGGAAAGCTGCTACTAACTGAACAGGATGAGAATCTTTTTTTCAAAATGTATACACCTAAGAACCTACAACAAAATGTTGCTCTGTGCAGTTGTTTTGTTTGGGATGCCAACCAGTCCACTGCCCCCAAACAGGCAATCTGCTTTGGGAAAGTTTTCTAAAAATTAGTGAGCTGTTCATAGATCAGAATGCTCCAAAATACACTCAGAAATAGCAACATTCCTACAAAATCTTACCACAAAAATAAACTCAATGCAACCTTCCAAAGCAATGTGAATACATGTCTATTTTTGGAAAAGCCGTACCCACCTGTTAACTCAGTCGTTCAAAGTTCAGACCCCCCATCAATTTTAATGCAACATTATATATATTTTCCAAATGTATGTAGGTGCCTTACCCCAGGATTGGATACAAACTGATCAACGAACTGCCACTTGAGGGGCTCATCAGGAGAGCTAGAGGAAAAACAAAATAGTTTGAAAAAAAAAGATAATGATTCAAACAGAAAACTTGCTGGGAGTTTTTTTAAAAAATCAATATATGAGTAATGCTTCCATATCATAGATTTACCTGGCCTGGATAGTGATCCAGCTAACTTGGTACAAGATCCATTATTTATGATCTGTCTGCTAGCTGGGGAAGTGATTCCGAAAGTTCTTCAATAACTTGCATTTTAAAATCAGTTAGCTGCAAGCCACATGATTCCCCAAAAATGGAGACAAAGGCTAGCAATTACTTGATCTGTATATAAATCATGTAACTTTTGTTTATACCCTTTCAGTTCTTTTGTGGTTGTAATTTAGGACCCAAAGCACATTATCTTAAAGGCATAAGAAGCAGCATTCTCTTTTTCTTTTTTACTTCAAAGAAGTACAGGGATCCCAATCTATCAGAGAGGTTCCCCTCTGTAGGGCAGCAATCTAGATCAACCAGTCAATCCACATCTGCAAAGTCTATTGCCAAATAGTGATTTTATTATTTTAATACAACACTACCTGGCCATGCAGTTTGCAGGTCTATGGAGGCTGATGCAGACTATGCCTCTGTTGAGAATAAATCAAAACCTTCCTCTTTCTCCCTTAAATCCAGATCCAAACTAGAATTACTGCACTTAATAAAAAGGGGGTGGGGGAGGAGTTGCCTTTGGGCTGGTCTGGCATAGATTACATTAGCAGTTGTATGGATGGTGGTGGGATGGATGAATGGATGGATATCTACCTGCACCTCAGATGGAGTCAGTGGTAATAATAAGACACAAAATGATATAGACTTAACAGAGGAATCCTGGTGCACCAGCAGGTCAGAAAATGACCTCCCACTGTTCTCAGGTAGATGGATATAATTTACACCAGCTGGCTTGACCCATTAGTCAGTGGTGAAGGGAAAGTGCAGGGAAGGAAAGGACTTTAAATCCCGCAGATCCATGGCTTCTCCTAACATGTCCTCCTACATCACCTTTTGTTCTCCCCTGCATTGGCTGCAGATCTCTCTGAAGTTACAGGTAGCAGATGCAATGCTTTTCCTCCTTCTCTCTACTCTTTGGAAGGAAGATTTGAAAAAAGCTATGCCCCTAGAACATGTTCCCTACAACTACAGAATTATTTAACTATCTAGCTAACTGTGCACTATGTCATCTGAATGGTAGACCCCATACAAGTAGTTCTCTACTAATGTATCCCTATTGCACTTCCTCAGAAGATGGAGTATTTTATTAGTTTACAAACCAAAGGAACAAAAAAGGCAGAAATGCAAAGCAAGAGCAAAATGATACCACTTTGTGCTACTTATCCTAGCAGTGATTTTTCCACTATCTATAAAACCGTGTACTTCTTAGACTTTTTTTAGCCACAACATTTCTAAGCAGAGGAAATCCAATGATGTAATAGAAAATTTACTGTATACCAGTGATGTGCCTGAAGAAGAGCACACAAATTGGCACCCAACTCACCCCGAGTCTTTCTGGAGACACTACAACCCAACCCTTGATCCTTGTCATCATTTCAGTCTTTCCAGATCTGTAGAAACCCTCCCCGTTATCATTGATAGGAAAACGAAAACAGCTAAGATTTGAGGTTGGCGATTACAGTACATACTATAGAGCTCTCAGTATGATTTCTGCAGTAATAATTTCTACCAGAATTATTTGTCCCTCTCTACCCCATAGAATGCAGGAAAAAGAGAAGAGGTAGCTATTATGAACTTTGGCTGAAACATCACCAAGCCAACACAAAAAGAAAAACGAAGGTAAAGGAGATAATGACAAACCTTAATGTCCTAAAGGGAACCATTCAACATCCATACGTAAACACAGGCATTCATGTGCATACACATGAACATTCAGATCTAGTAGGATAACTAACAAAGTCTTTTAAAAGAAGCAAAGGAAAATTGAAGAATGCAAAAAACCAAGGCAATGTGCTACACTGATGATGTTACTCATTTTGCATTGAGCCTAAAAGAAATGCAGAGAGCAGCTGCTATACCCAGGGACCCTCAGCAATTGTAGCATGCAGGAGAAGTCTTAAGAGTTCACTGGGGGTAGGGAGGTGATGCTTTCAGTCTTATCCATTGGCAACAGCTTTGTGTTCTCCTCATAAGGTATTAACAGTTTTGATTCCTTTTTCCCCACTTTCAGTTATATGGCACATTTTATACTTCAACATTTTTAGTACTGCAGATGCTGGATTTAACATGAGGCAAGGGTGCCACTTCACTTTGTGAGGGCTCCTAGGCCCTTTGCTCTGTCCTGTGGTTGCCCTGGCATTGCACTAATAGCCTTGAGTTAGTCCTTATTTACGCACATATCTGAAGACAGCACATACCCTTATTCTATACAATATATACCATACATAAAATATGCATGTACTGAAAAGACTATTACCTTTTGACAGGGATCATGCCAACATCTGCAATGAAATAATGGTTAATGTTAGTTAATATCATGTGGCTATCAGGTTATCTAAAGGAAACTGGATAAAGGAAAAAGTAGCATATATAAAAATAATGTTCTACTCACGTCGTACTTTTATAGAAACTATTTTCTTTGTGCGAAGAAGATTAATCACTTCTTCATGAGTACATGAAGAGATTGAGTATCCATTTATTCGAACAATCTCATCTCCAACCTTGTTTTTTTTTTAAAAAAAGGAAGAAAAGATAAATACGAAATCAGAAATTTATGTGGACTGAGTTCTTCTTCAATGGTGGCAAACTGCAAAGCCCCACAAGTGTAATTGCATGGGATTGGGCAGAGAGAAGCAGGGGAAGGCATCTGGTTGGCATGGCAGGCCGTGCTGTTGCAACAGTTGATCATGGAGAGGGCACAGTGTGCTCAGACATCGACCAGTTAGGCTCTCTGCAACTGCAAGGAGTCTCCAGAAATTGCTTGTATGTGGAGACCTCTTTGTATGAGTGAGGAAGGAGAATATGCAACCAGTCAGACAACCAGGACTTGAGCAAGTGTTATACCATCCATTTTTTTGTATGTTTCCACAGAACTGAAAAGCTGAAACACCTCATTGAAAAATGGACAGATGGAAATAAAGTTTAAAGCTGTATGGGGGGTCTATTAAGCATAGCTGAGCGGTCTGTGTAACTGCTTCCTGCCGCTCCATCTAACAGACAAATTCATGCAGCTGCCTCAGGCAGCAGTTGTTGTGGAATGTAGAGAAATAGCAACATGTTAGCGGTCACAGGTATAGGGGTTGTATGTTCTGTTCTGTTCCCCATAAGCTAGTCTGTCACCCACACATGCAGCACAGGATGCTTTCCTGTTCACCAGTACAGAACTGGCTTCTATACCCAGAGTTACTAATGGGGGAAGGGGTGATGGTGACACCATCATGTCCAACAAGTCATAGTTTGTCATGTTTCTGTTCTTACTGGTAATGAAATCATTGGCTTGTGCTAGCAAGCTTCTTCTAAGCACACTGGCTTGGATCCTAACTTTGTGCAAGTAGATTTTAATGTATAGGAAACTCAGGTTGTCAGAAGTGGAGAAAGAGATTCCATTGACTTCCCATTTCTGATGAAAATTGATTCCAAAAAAAATTACAGAATATCTCAGAGCAGCTCAGGAGCCAAACAAAGAAGGAAGTGGCAAAAGTTGCTCCCCTCCCCCATGTCTTCTTCGAACAAGATCCTCTACTTTCTAAGAATGGAGAAGCTGCCCTTTGACAGATAAAAGTCCTTTTTAAAAAAAATAGCAACGGCTGCACTCCCCAGTCATCAGCTAGAGTTTTGATACCAGGATGGGCAGAGCTATAACCAAATGTGGAATGACCACCACCATCACTTTCTATCAACCTCCCCACCTAGGAGGCTGCTGGAGAAAAGACACATTACTCTTCCAGGGATCTCATTAGTTGTTGGATTAGAGGAGGACTTTTGAAATTAGGTCAAGAGCTACGTGGGATCATTTGACTCTGGAGACTCTGTCAGCTGTAGAATGGCTTAAGGGCATCCTTTTGGCATTCTCTACATGAGGTTGCCATGTTTACACCAGGGTGTGTGTGTGTGGAACTGATAAAACCACTCCTTATATATCTCACTTTCCTTGAAAGACCTATTAGGGTTGCTATAAGTTGGTTCTGACTTGACAGCACAGACCACACACAACGGAGAAACAGAATAAGGACATTGCAAATGCAAAACTGTATAGGGAAGATAACATGCAATGACCTTAAAATCACACAGCATCTTACAAGGCTACCATATTGGTTGTGATAGAATCCTCAGAAATCAAAATCCATGTATCCATGCATGAAACAGCCATCCAAGGAGGGAGATAAACATATGGACAAAAACACAACAAGGATTAAGGGGATAGGGATTTATCTTTACTAGGGGAAGCAAAAAGCAAAAACAGCAGTGCAGTGAGAATGTTAGAATGTTAAGTGGAACACAAATACACACACAATGTAAACAGAACAAGAGCAAGGTCCACTGCTAACAAGTAACTGCCAGGACCATGACAGTCCCTACATACATATTACATATGTATTCTGACTTTACTGTCAGTGGCAATTCTTGGAAATTAAATACCTCCCACACCCCATAGCCCCAAAGAGCTTGTCCACAATGCAAGGGATTCTACAGGAGCCTCAGGACTTTTGAGGGTGTGTGTATCAGAAATATTTTATTTCTGAAAATCTGCCACAGCCTATGATGTCATCAGCCTTATGTAACGTACCTTAACAGAAGACTTTGCATCATGACAAAGATAGCTCACAAAATACACTAGTGCTGTGAAAAACACACAGCTGCTGTGAAGACCACAGGTAAGCTCAAGGAAAGCAAGGAAAACCTGATGGGTGGATGCCAGGGAAATCCCACTGGTTCAACCCTATGAATCCTTGTGCCATGATAATGCAGGTGATCACTAGACATGGCAACATGGAGGTGAATGTCTTAAGAGGATTAAAGCTAACTGTGGTGAGATTAGTATTGCTAGAATTTGCTGAGCCCCAAATGTTGAATGCTGCAATCCTATTTATACCTTCCTGGAAGTAAGATGAACTATACAAGGTGACAGACAATTTTTTCTGCATCAGCCATACCGGGTTGGTGCATAGCCTGAGGAAATGAGATTTTACTCATGGAAGCTTGCCATTTGTGTGACTTTTTAGTGGTAAGGTATCACTTTACTCTTGTATTTGTGCAATCTGGAAGCACACAACCTTTTCCTAATTCTTCTGTAGCCAGTGAGGTTTCCTTCTGGGTAAATGTGCACAGGCTTGCACTGTAATCCAGTCTCTTTGACTTTATATTCATTCTATGCATCAGATGGGCTGCAAACCATGAAAGCTCACAGAAAATAAAACCTGCTTGTTTTTAAGGTGCCACTAAACTTTGTTGTTTCTGCCGCAACAGACTAATACGGCTATCCCAGTGCTGAGCTTTTATTCTACAGTATTTGGTTTTTAATAGACTTTCTTGATTGCTCCTCTAGAGCTTTTGAAAAGTTTCTCTCTGAAGTTTAGTTATCCAAGCACCAACCACTAACAGTGCAACAAATTCCATTTTATTGGACTAAATTTATTTTCACCATAGTCCACTGAAAACACTCTTTAACTGCTCTCTTCCCATCTGATGGGCTAGAAAAGTAAGTGTGCTCATGCTGAGGTGAACTTCATGAACAGTGCATTCTTTCAGTGGATTGCCACTCAGTTTTAGCTTACGGTACTTGCTTATCAGTTATTGCTGCACTGTACTTGTTTTACTCACATGAGTCAAATTTAATTCAATCCTGAAATACCTGATTAAAAGCTGTATTTTCCAGCCAAGGAAATTACACACTGAAGATATGTTAGATGATACAATTAATCACTGCAGCAAAGACTCATCTCTCTCTCTCTCTCTCTCTCTCTCTCTCTCTCTCTCTGTGTGTGTGTGTGTGTGTGTGTGTGTGTGTTTGCGCGCGCGCGTGTGTGTGTGTGGTAGGCTCATTACTCATAGTTCCTAGAAGTAGACACTGCTGTTGCAGACTGTAAATATGCCATGGAATTCACAAAGCCCCCCCCCCAACCCAGCATGCTTCCAGTGGCCCAGATTCTGGGAAAGCTACTTTTGGAAAGTACAGATCCAAGTACTGTATGCTGGCTCAGAAATGTTCAGGTTCATGGTACCCCTAAGTAATCTTTTGAAGCTTAGCAGAAATTAGGAGATTTACTAGAACAATGTGGCCCGCAGGATTTTAAAAAGGAAGAAATAATCAGAAAAACTGTCTCCACACTTTAAACCATGTGAGTTTTCTCTGACATGAAAAGTCATTTAGTCAACAGAAGGTGCTATGTTCGCAGAACAGCAATTCTACATTCAAGATATGGGGTTCATTTTTTTCACCCTAAAATGTGACATCTCAGGGTGTTATTAAGTTTTCAAAAGAATCAGAATAGTGAATGATGCAAAGAGTAGTTTGCACATTTCTTGTTTATGCTGGAAATAAACACCCACGACTAGTACAGGTAAAGGTTCCCCTTGACATTTTTAGTCCAGTCGTGTCCGACTCTAGGGGGTGGTGCTCATCCCGTTTTCAGAGCCAGCGCTTGTCCGAAGACAGTTTCTATTGCCACGTGGCCAGCGTGACTAGGGAACACCGTTTTACCTTCCCACCGAGGTGGTACCTATTTATCTACTCTCATTTGCATGCTTTTGAACTGCTAGGTTGGCGAGGAGCTGGGACCAAAGCGACGGGAGCTCACTCCGTTGTGTGGATTTGATCTTATGACTGCTGGTCTTCTGCCCCTGCAGCACAGGCTTCTGCGGTTTAGCCCACAGTGCCACCACATCCTGTCCCACGACTAGTACCCGTTGCATTTTAGCAAAGAGTTCCTTGTCTTGATGGCTCTCCTTGTCCCACCCCCACCTCTTGCATGACTCTAACCCTAACCCTACCCTCTTCTCATCAATATTCCCACCTATTGCAGATGTCAGACTTTTCCAAAGCCCAAGGCCATATGTCTACATTTTCCTAATATACATATTTTGCCAGGCATTTCTTCTGCTGTAGGAGGTTCCACAATTTCCATCAACTTCAGCCTAGACCTGTCTATTCAGCAGTACATTTTCCAGGTAATGGTATATTCTAGACACCACTATGCAGCTACACAATAGACAGATAAGCACTACCTTACACCTGAAACTAAGAAACAACTACTGATACACATGTGCCTCCTGCTTCTACTGTGAACACATTTCAGGTTTCATTGCCTATAGTCAAGTTCTGCAATACAACTGGAACTGTTCAGATGCATCAAGCAGAGATGCTCTAGTTGAGAACTTAAATGAGACATTCCTCAGATTGCAATCCACCCTCCTCCAACAAAATAATCAACAGGGCTAGATTTATACCCAGAAACAATCTTCTTCAGGATATACCCAGAGCTGATAACTTGCAGGTCCCAACTAAAACCACTCAAAACCAAGACTTTTCCCCACCTTGGCTGGGTTACTCTATTTATCTGTTTATTTATGAATGAATGTCCCTCTCCACCCACCACTGCCTAAGAATAACTATTAACAACCACAATTTAGATGTGCCTCTGTCACCGCCAAGGTTTGTCAATGACTGTCAAAGGCCACTGATTGAGAACTAGCATGTTGGAACCCTTGACCTCCCATTACATTTCATTTCCTCCCACTCGCCCCATAGAGATGTCTGTTGTCTGTGGCTACTTGCTCCACAAAAGCTTATGACAGATAAAACATGTTGGCCTTAAAGGTATCTCTTCATTTCTAACTTTAGTAAGAACAATAATATGTGGCTCTTATCAAAAGGGCTTATCTTTCTTTAATGGGAAAGCCCCATAAGACAATGGGTGAATATACTGAAAGATAAAAACAAAGGAGCAAGAAAATAGTGAGAAGCAGTAATCAGAATACATGCATCCCCTCTGGGCTATGGAATTTTTGGCCCTCCAGATGTTGTTGGACTCTTGTTCCCATCAAGAGTAGCCAGCCAAAACAACAGGGAAGAATGATGGGAATGGTAGTTCATCTACATCTGGCTTTCATAATCAGGCTTTCATTTTAAATTCCAGATAAGAGTTCCCTGGCTTTAACAGCTCTATAAATTACAGCAAATTTAGATCCCTTTGTAAATTTGATTCATGTCAAGCAGTTACTAGAGGCATAAGAACCCCACTAAGAAGAATAGGCAAGAACTCTGTAGGCCATAGAAAGATTTTTGTTCAGAATCACAGTACTACTAGTGGGTCATGATGAGAAAAGGGAATAAAATAATTGTCCATGTAAAGATTAAGAATGATATGCTTGCTCCACCTACTGTCAATTTTTAAAAATTGTGTAATCTCTAAAAGGGATTTTAATGAATATTGCCCTGTTTTGTACCATATTTTAAACAAAAACGGAAACTACAAAAGTGGTCTGAGGTTCCTCATCTTCCCAGGATTACATAGAGGGAGTTTCCTGTGATGAGTATTTTAATAAAACTGCTCTGCTTTGAATGACATCGAAACTACAGATTAGGAAAATAAGCAGCTATGCAGAGATTGCAATTGAAACGATGTCATTTAAAAAACAAACAAACCTCCAAACTCGTATCATATCACCCCAATAGGAATCACACGGGCATATCACCATGTCACACAGATGTTGACACTACTAACACCTTCAGCCACTCAAAGCAGGAACACTGTCCATTCCTGTGGGCTTACTGACATACCATGTAGGTGTTCAGATTTGGCTATTTAATCAAAATTAAAGTTAAATCAAGGACAATCCTGCCTTCACCATGAATGAGGGATCAGTGCCATTCCATTTCCCAGTTTTTCCCCAGCAACAACTGCCCAAATAAGGAGAATGTTTTACCATTGCTCACTGCAGATTCCCAGTGTATTTAACTAATCTGGCCTATCACTTCTGCTCTTTCTTTTCATTTTATGCCAGAGCTATATGGAGAACACATTCCTGACAAACTGAAGGAAAAGACAGCTCTGCTGATCAGGCCCACAAAGCCTATACGGCAATTATGAAAAATGCATTTCTATAGGAAGTTGTGATGCATGTATCAATCAACATTTCTTCAAAATTAAAGGTTTCAGATTTTTAACTACATGTGCAACAATGTGTTTATTGGCCAGGATAATTCTGTCACACAATATAACAATTCAATTTAACACCGTTTTCTTACTAATTCAGTTCAAAAAATCACCATTAGGCTACAGAAAAATGAGCAGTGGGTCCTCATCAAATGAAGTCTGAACTATTTCTGGAGGCAAAAAATACTGAAACTGAGGCTGTCCTACTTTGGGCACATCATGAGAAGGCAGGGTTCTCTAGACAAGACAATAAGGCTGGGCAAGGTGGAAGACAGCAGGAAAAGAGGAAGACCACATACGAGATAGACTCTCGTATGTGTCATTCTAAGCAAAGGATGTCCTTCATGGAGACATTGTTTGCTAGCCTGTCCACGGAGTTTGGAATACATTTTATGGAAGGCATTATTTCTCCAGCATCAATGTATCCTTCACAAATATGCAATTACAGAAGAACCACTATCTAAAGGACTGATAACACTCAAAAGGGCTAGATTAGAAAACTTTTCATGAGTTTCTTTATCCTGGCATTTTGAAAAGGAGCTTTTATTTTATTAACTGAAGTATAAGGTGCAGAATCACAGTGGTTTCAAATTTTCTTTTTTCAAATTTCCATTTACTTTTATTATTCATAATAACTTCCAGCTCTTTTTAGTTAACAGACTCCTCAAAGATATGAGTATCTCAGAGAAAAACAAAACAGAAGAGATACAGAAATGAACAAACTAAATGCTACCCATTTAAAAAAATAAAAAATAGAAACAGAAAAATCACAAGAAAATTGGGCAATGACACAAATGTTTCAATTACATTTCTTGATTATATACTCTCTCTCCTTCTCTCTCTCCTTCTAAATAGTACAAATGTACCTTATTTCTCAGAGTCCAGAGATGAATATAAAATGGTATGGAAAAAAGAGAGCCAAAACCTGATATTATGATAGAAGATCATTATGCTTTCTCACAGACCACTTTTTTTTTCCAAGCTTAGAAAATGTGTGGAGATTTAGTGAAATAATGCAGATGGGTGAAATTTCAGAAGCATTTGACAGCAGTTTAGAACAATGAGCTGCCTGTCAATTCCCCTTATTCAGTTGGTTTTACAAAGTTTTAGAAAGCGTCTCATACAAACCATTACAATTGCAGTTTAAGCTGATCCTCAACATCTCATAACCGCTAACCTAGGCATGCTGTTATTAAGGAAAGATTTTCTTGCAGATTTCTCTCAGTTCAGTATTAGCAGACTCACCGATTATAAAAAGGTACAGTGACAACACAGAAATGATCCACTCTGTTCCCTACTAGAATCAAGATCCACTGACTGCAGTCTGGTGCAGAAGATAAAAACACTCTGAATTAATGAATTCTGAACCCAGAGTATGAGCTGATTATCTAAACCAAGTCCCTCAACACAAACCCACACTCCTGAGCTCCCTTTGGCTTTCTACATTTTAGCAATACATTTGCCAGTGGAGGAGGAGGTCCATGGGAAACAGCTGTTTTATCACTATGCATGGTTTCTCCTGGAACTCAGAATTCCTTGCTGACATACTTCAAACCACCCAAAAATCCATCAGCAAATCCTAAATTGTGTTTTGTCCATCACCACTGTGTATGAAAGAGACAGTTGATACATGGTTTTATGCTTTGTTTTGGATCTTATGCATGGTTTTCGCAACCCATGGCCCTCTTGCAATATCTTGGTTTCTACTGTACCTGGCTATACATGTTTCAAGGACAGTTGATACATGGTTTTATGCTTTGTTCTGGATCTTGTGCATGGTTTTTGCAACCCATGGCCCTCTTGCAATATCTTGCCAAGGGGCCCTGGTTTCTCTTGCACCTGGTTATACATGTTTCAACAGGCAGCCATGCAAAATAGGGTTGGAAGTCCATAATGCACATTGGGGTGGAACTGACTCTAGCTGCAAAAGCCACAGCAAGGACTACAGTAGGAATCTCGGGGCACCTTCAAAAATAATTTTTTTTATTTGGCACAAATGTTGATGGGCTCTACACCAATTTTTTTTTTCAGATCAGCTGACCCTTAGAGTGCAACTGGCATCCTGGCCGCAGCTCACAGTAACAATTCCTGCAGGAACAGGTTGGTTTGCTCTTTTTGACAGCAAAAATCCTATCTGCACCTTTTGGGTCCGCATCAGGGCCTTTTACTTTGTTGGTAGAATCACTCTAGTTTGGTCCATTTCCGGCACATGTGATCACCGGGAACGGACAAGAAGCGACCCTTTCTCTAATTTGCCAGCATTGTGAAATGGCTTAAAGAAAGAGCTACTTCAGGATATTGGCATATTAATAACTTTTTTGGTTCCATGGAGGGACCAATGAAGGAAAAACTATTTTTAAATTGTGTATTGGACTATGACTATTCACAGTACCACTTTTTTTTTTAAAGGACAAATGGAATGCTTCATCCGGGAAACATTCCTTTGCTTTTTTTTTCACTTCCTCAATCCCACCACAGAATTGAGAAAGAGATTAATTTGCCAGTATCCTGACATGGGTGCTTCATTAAGCCACTTTACGATATTGGCAAATTCGAGGAAGGCTACAGTGGACCAAAAAGAATTGCTTGAGAGCCGTATGTCATTTGGACACAATTACTGTACCAAATGGCAGACTGGATCTCGTACCATCCCTATATAGTTCAATCCAGCCCACTCCTTCCCAATCATTTAGACGAGCCCAACAGCAATTGCTTCATACCTGGACCTGGAGGCACAAAAGCACTGAAGAGATAGGCTACTGTAATATGACAGAAGGGACAGGTTTTATGGATCTCTTTACATTTTACAGTGGGAGACAGACCACAGGACCAACAGGAGGCACTTGACAGTCACTCACCCAAAATGAGACAGCTGGATTTGTCCATATTAACAGAGGAGGAGCAATTCCTTCATAAATTTAATGGTTCGTAATTGCCACTCAAAATCAAACCAACCTCAAATACTTTGCATTACAAAGCAAGATAGCTTGCAACAGTTCCTGGGCAAACCCATTTCTCTCCCAGCTACTGTTGAAGCTGCTTCTTAGAGCAAAAGGGACAAGTAAGCCCAAGGAGGGTGGCAGATACAGGCCCTGCTTCTCAGAAAGCCTCAGGGCTTCAACCCAGTGAATCCTGGTTCCACACATAACACACTTAGCTCTTACATTAGACACACTGTGCTTTTAAAGGATGACTTCAATGCCATCTTCACCTACATCTCATGCCCCTTTATTGGTTCAAAACCAGTTTTGGTTTGCAGTGTGTGTGTGCTATGTGCTATCAAGTTACTTCTAACTGATCGTGACCGAAATGGGTTTTCAAAGTATGCGAGATATTTAACAACTAGGTTTATCAGTGGCACACGTCAGTGAGTGAATGAGACTTAAACCCAAGTCTCCAGAGTCCTAGTCCAACACTTTGTCTGCTACACTCTACTGATTCTTAGATGCATCCTAGATAATGATTGAAACATATGGCACATTTTACCTCTATGGGCCAGGATTTCTTTCATACCTGAAGTCCAACATTATCTGCTTGTCCACCTTTAATGAGCTGTGAAATAAAAAGGCCACATGTGAATTCTGCACCTCCTCGCACACTTATTCCAAGGCCTTCAGGATGCAGACGATCCAACCTCACCTCTTTCAGCTTTCTGCAGAAATTGGAATAGGAAAATGCATAGTGACAACTCAAAGCATTTATAGTTGCAACTTAAACATTCCCATACTGTTTGTTTCCATGTATCTCTATTGTTCATTGCTGATGAGGTTTCGGGTTTCTATTGTTCAATTTATTTCTGCTGTACAGCTACTGGAGATTTAGAATCTACAACAAAATATGTGACAACCCTACTTTTGAAGCACAATCTTAACTTGCCAAGATGGTGGGGGCAGCCAAAGTCATGTTGAATCCAAATCCTGAACAGTCCCCAGATACTAGAAATCGCTCAGGACTACCATCAGCTGGGCTTAACTTTATGCTAACATAGTAGGTCTCTGGGCTGGAGGAGGTTTGTATTCGACACAACTCTTCTCTTCTTCCAACCCTTCTCAGCCTATCTCTCTCTCTTTCTCTTTTTTTTAGCTCTTCTGTTGGCAGATCTTAATCAGCAGAACAATGCTACTTGCAGATCATTCCGCTGGCATATCAGTCAGCTGAATGGAGGCTCTGCCAACACAAGAACATTTCTGCTGGCATATGTGATATTTGTGTCAACGGAAAACATTTCTGTAGATTCTTAATCTTCTCGGTGGTGCCTCTTCTGGTAAGGATTGTCGTTAACCATCAAAAACCTCTTCCAAATGCAGAGGCACAAACTGTTCACTCTTTAATAGCCACCATTGTGGGCTCAAAGTGATAGTTGTTTTCTGTGTCCCACTGACTATCAAAGAGAAAGTGGAAGGAAAGAGGAACGATTGGTCACCTGAAAAGTACAGAAATGCACCTTGAGATTAGGTGAGGGCTTAACTCTCAGTTTAGTTCAGTATTTCTATGTGTGATTATGAAGGTTTTCATAAAAGAGCCTTGTTGCACAGCGATTAAACTGCAGTAATGCAGCCAAAATTCTGCTCACAATCTAGGTTCAATCCCAGGTAGCTGGCTCAAGGTTCACTCAGCCAGCCATCCTTAAGAGGTCGGTAAACTGAGTACCCGGCTTGCGGTGGAGGGGGGTAGCAATGTGTAGCTTGCATAATTAGCTGTAAACCACACAGTGAGTGTTTTAAGCGCTATTGGGTGGTACATAAGCAACACTTTTTTAGTAAAATAGTACAGATGCTAAAAAAAAGGGCCAATAAACAGGCAGGAATACTCTTCAAACCCACCTAGATCGTTTGGGTGTCAACTGATCATATTCCACTTGATGTTTTAATGGGATAAGAGGACGGATAGCCTCAAATAATGGTAGGCGACTGGGTTCATTGATTACATACTTCAGATCTCCTACCAACACTGGAAGATTCATGGATCTGAAAAATGAAGTTGAAGAGTTATAATGGAAATGTACAGTTAAATGCTCTTTATGCATTCTGTATGTTCTCTGGTTTTTAGTCATGACAAATTAAAATTTCCCCTCAAAATATTTTTATCATCACCTAAATATGCACTTTAAAGACTTAAAACAAAATTAAATAGTTGTTGTAGGTTTTTTGAGCTGTTTGGCCGTGTTCTGAAGGTTGTTCTTCCTAATGTTTCACCAGTCTCTGTGGCCCGGATCTTCAGAGGACAGGAGTCAGAACTCTGTGCTCTGATGCGGTTTTGTGGGATAGTTGAGTATTTATAGCTGTGGGAACAGCTTTTATCCTTTTCAGGAGATCAGCATGTTTTGTTGTGGGTGTATTGTTATGATAAGGGGGAGAAATCATCTGTCACTGTGATTGATGGGTGTCCTTAGCTGGTCTTTTGTGTGCAGTGATCACCGATCCTTGTGGCTGGGTAGAGTTCACTGACATTTTGAAGGGTGTATTTTTCAGTGCTGGGAGCCAGGCTTTGTTGAGTTTTAAACTTTCTTTTTTTTTTTGTTGAAGCTCTGCTGGTGTTTGCGGATTTCAATGGATTCCCTGTACAATCTAACATAACGATTGCTGGTGTTGTCCAGTACGTCTGTTTTTGAAATAGATTTTCATGTCCAGCTTGTTTTAGGACATGTTCAGCTAACTGCTGCTTTTTCTGGTTGTTTTAGTCTGCAGTGTCTCTCACATTCTTTGATTCTGGCGTGGATGCTGCATTTTGTGGTTCCAATATATACCTGGCTACAACTGCAAGGTATCGGGTATATTCCTGCAGTGGTGAGGGGGTCCCTTTTGTCCTTTGCTGACTGTAACATCTGTTGCAAAATGAACTCTACCCAGCCAGAAGGACCGGTGATCACTGCACACAAAAGACCAGCTAACGACACCCATTAATCACAGTGACAGATCATCTCTCCCCCTTATCACAACAATACACCCACAACAAAAACCACACTGATCACCATAATCACCCAATCTCCTCAAAAGGACAAAAGCTGATCCCACAGCTATAAATATTCAACTGTCCCACAAAACTGCATCAGAGCAGAGACAGAGTTCTCACTCCTGTCCTCTGAAGATGCCGGCCACAGAGACTGGTGAAAGGAAGAACAATCTTCAGAACATTGCCAAACAGTCTGAAAAACCTACAACAACCATCAGATCCCGGCCATAAAAGCCTTCGAGAATACACAGAATCAAATATTAACATTTTCAAAAATCAACTGTGAATGAAAAATCAAACGTGGATGACATATTCTTTCTAACACTGGTTGTATCTACTTTTGGCTGCTAGGTTGATTAAAAAAAGTTGTATTTATTTAACATTCTTTTAGAAGTCCCAAATATATTTTGAGTATGGAATTTTCTAGTATAAGGATGTATTGCTACATGTTAATCCTTTCTTCTGACAACTTCACTTCAAGGACATGGTCCAGGGGTAGGGGAGCTGGTATCCTCTAGTGAGTAAAACAATTAAAACCCTTTTTTTTAAATGTTGGGGTGTTTGGGAACCTCGGGATCTTCAACACATGGCACAATTATAATCCCCCGCTGGCCCTACAGGATCCACTTTGACCCACTTTTTCCAAATGTTTTTAAAATATTTCAGATGAAGGGATGTTGTGAGAGTCATTTGGAGGCATAAGAATGGAGGTGGCATATGGGCCCCAGGGACTGTATGTTTATAGACACCATAGAGACGGAGAAACTGGTTTAGCTATTACATAGCACTGTGTGAAGCAAACATTAATACAGAATCCAATCAACATAGTTAGATTCTATTTTTATACCAATAATGACACAAAAAGCATTAGCGATGTGTATGATACATTATTCAATATCCAAATAGTATATAATAATTATTTGGGAAAAGGAGATTTAAGCCACAGAGTGATTTTAGCTAAAATTTGTGGTTCACAAAAATAATATGCAATTTTTAAATAGCATTATAAATTTTATTTACATATTAGCACCCTTTCCCAGCTTTTGTTGGAGGGTGGGCAAAGATATTTGAGATATCTGTTAGGTTTGCCACTATAACAAAGTTCTAAATAATTAACAGCACTGAATTCTTCCTGATTTCACAAGCTGATGGCAGTGCTTTATGAATGAAGAAGCAATTAGACAGCCCACAGTGAAACCAAATCAGGTTTGTAGCCCAAGTCATACAAAACTATAGCTTAACACAAAGGCCACATGGAAACTTGAAAAGGTCTACATTTCACTTCACTGAGCAGCTATTAATTAAGCTATATCTAGAAACTATAACCACCAGAACTACTCGCCTATGGAGAGTGGAAAAATACTCTCCTCTCACAACAATAATATGGACCAGGATCTGTTTCAGTTAGTGCTGTGTATAGGAAAAATACAGAAATGTAGCTGATGATAAAAATATTTATAAATATTGACAAAATACACAGTCATATCTTCTTAATATTGTTTGCATTAAAAGAAATCACATAGAACAGAAAGTCATAACATAAATTTTCTTTCCAAGGCATTGGCTGTGTTAGTCCATTGCAGTAAAATGCAAAACAGCTGTACTCAAGTTAATAAATCTTTACTAATTAATCAGAAGTTCATCAAGGAAAGTATGTTTTTCAACACTGCTTGCCAACAAGGCCAGTGTAATTATGTTACATACGTTTAAATGTTAACATAATTGTTGCAGTCAATATGTAATACATTTCGTTTCCCTTAGTCCTCACTGCTAACATCCTTGAAAACTCTTTTCATCCTCTATCAATTTAAGCTAGGATTCCATGTACCTGATGAAAACCTGTGCCACAATCAAAGTGTTAATTTGATGTGTGACAGATTTTTCAGATGATCTCTGTGCTAAAACCATTATGCTTTCAAATGTGAACAGATCTCCTGAAGACTGTCAAGTTAACACAGTAAAATCCACAAGAAGAAGATATTATCAACGCATCCAAATGAGCACGTGCATTCTTGTTTCCTGAAGCCAAATATTTACAAAAGAACATTTATGGCCCTATTTAACTATGCTGCGTTTGGACAGCTTGAAGTAAAATCTTTAGGAAAAAGCAGAAACATGATAAACTAACTTGTTTATTATGCATTAAATCCCTGAACCAGTTCCACGCAAAGACATCACAAACCTTCTATGAATTAACACTGAGAGAGAGAGAGAGAGAGAGAGAGAGAGAGAGAGAGAAAGAGAAGATTATCTATGTCTTTCACCAAAATGCTATTTTGCCCTCAGGAGGATAACAAGCATAAATATGAAGTAGGAACTTACTCATGATACATTCTCAGTACATCATATAGATAATCTTTCTCTGCCTCATTATCAATTAGTAGGTCAACCTGTTTTAAAATAAATAGAATAAATAACAGCATTATTAATACTTCAACCACAAATCAAGAATGATGAAGATTTCCCCTTCTCATTAACAAACAAGGGCAATTGGGGGGGGGGAGATTCTAAGAAGTTTCTTTTGAAAACTTGAAAAACAAAAACATTCCTCTTTCCTTTTATATCTAATGAATTTATGACCATGCCAGAAAGCAGTCATTTCACACAGTCATACAACACACCATAGTACTGTATGATTTGCTTACCTGATAATGACTAAATTGTTGAATAAATACTTTAAGAAATCTTTTTGGCCATTCACTAATGTAGCACATGGCTGGGCAACTGGAATTGACTGGACCCAGCTCAACTTTAACGTGGGTTCAAAGGCTCTAAATTAGAAATATCAGCATCCTTCTAATGCCGTGGTGAGGGAAACAAGATTAGCTGTCTTGGCTCTGATATCTTGACAGAGCTTGCTGCTAGGCTATTATTCTTTCTGCACTTCTGTCACAGCATGTCCATTTAAACGAGTATCATATTGCAAGACTTCCACTTTGCTAACTATTCCAAAATAAATAAATAAAAGTACAGAGTCTGCATATATCACGTAGCACTTTATGGGTCTTGCCTGTGTGTCAATAATTAGAAATGCTTGTTTCGGCAGGAGAGAGATTACATATTTCAAAGCCGATTGTCCGAAGAACGTATGAGACTGCCTTACAGAGAACAGAGATGACAAACATTAGTGAGTTTTGTTTTGGACTACAGCTCCCAGACTCCACACACAGACAGACAGACACACACTCAGCTGGACTGGCCAGTAACTCTTCTCAAACCAAGTCTGATCATTCATCAGTCCTGTCCAGAATTTGGTTGCCCTCTTCGAACAGAAAAAGGAAGGGGCGTCACCATCACTCTGGAAGCCATACAGTGAGACAAAGCATTAATGGGAAGAAAGGGTTAAGGAGATTCAACACACCCAGTGCTTTGTAGTGATAAAGACACTATTATTATTATTATT